TAAAGAATACCCATAAGGTATGAGGAAAACTATTGGCTGCATGTCACAGACCATGCTAGTTTTGTGATGGCTCATTTGCAAAATAGGCCACCCAGCAATAGTATTGTGTTTGGTATGTCATCAAGAGTTTGTGCTGACATATCCAATTGCCCATGAATGACTATTAGACCCCATTCACACTTGAGAATGAGCATACCCAGGCTATATAAAGAGTTTTTTCTATGAGCAGCTTGTAGTACAGGAGCAGAATCATGCATTTTTGTCTCTATATACTTTTCAGGTACTCTTATTAAAGTCTGTGGGGCAGGAGATACACAGTCTGCCCCAAAAAAAAACCTCATGTACTTTAATGAGCTTCACGTGGCAGGTGACAAGTGCCACAGCGCTCAGTTGTCAACAGGTCCATTGAGAATAATGGGATCCTTCAACCTGAGTGTTGTGTTTCGGGAATCGTGCGACAAAACTCTCAAGTGTGAATGGGCCCTTATGGTTCGTGCCCAGCAAGACAGGTGGGCAGCTTCAGGTTTGCAGAGAAAAAATAGTGGGATACTGGCATTTAATTCACTCACTTTCTATACCAACCTTACTCAACCTTTTTTACGATGGACTAGCCTTTAAAATTTATTTGTCTCAGTGAATGTCTATATCCATCTATTTTTCATGATAAAGTAGTATGATCACTAAGCTATTGAAAGTTTAAATGAAAGAATAAAGAATATGGCATACCTTGAATATTCAACACACACTCCCTTGCTCCATACATCAATAATAATAACAAAAATAAATGAATAATAATGGCCAGAAAAGAAACACAGATAGTAGTGTTACCTTACACTGGTCGTCAGTGGGAAATTACTTCCTTACATTGGTAGTCATTGTAAATGGAAGATCAATCTGTCATTGTTCAAGGAACCTCCTCTTGCAACTTATGAAGGATCTGGGATCCATAGAACCCAGGTTGTGAAAGTCTGATCCTTACAGTTTCATACATTGCAAAATGGAAGTTTTGGAGGTTTTTTTACTGCTTGGAAACAAGCTGTGAGCTAGAATTATGTTTTGATACAAGAGAAATCTTCAGTTATAAAGTACAGTTACATAGACCATGTGTTTCCAATCTGTATGTTCTTGGCTACTCTAGAATTGTATATCACAACTGTACTTCTATAAGGAGGGTGTCTGGAAACCAGATGAATTAACGCTGACTGGTTCTGTTAAAAAACTGGCTTCCTTAAAACTATATCCAGTGGCTCTCTGACCCAGAATCCAAAGTAAGGTTGTCTGCATCACATCTCTAATGTAGTATGGCAGGTATAGGGTAGGGGTGCCTTTTGCCTGCTGCTTCCAAACACTTTTCATCTGTTTAATTGAACTCATGTTGAAATATTTAGCTGTAGTCTGTGTCTGCACGGCCAAGATGGAAGTTCATGTGCCGTTCAATTTGAAAGATCAGTTGTGATCTCAGAATTCTGGGGAAAGACGCAACGCAGGCATCCATCCATCCCCTTGTCCAGCTCCCAACTACATCTGCTGGCTGCAGGGAAACACTTGGGTTTAACATGATACCTTAGAGGAAAGAGGCCCAAGTTATTTCACAGAGAATACAGTTATTATTTCACTGTAGGTGTATATCTCAGCAGATGTGAAGTGCACGTGTTTTTCGTTTGGAAAGAAAGCACAAACCACACTGCTCCAAGTTTTTTTCTATTAAACAGCAGAAATCGGCCTGTGCTTTGATTCATGTCCAGTTCAAAAAGGAACCCCAGGCAAGTAGACAAAAAAATACCTAATGGCTCACTTTTATGTCTTCAAAAATCATCCATTTTTTCAGTTCAGCTATTGTCATTTTCCAGAATCCAGCTAACTGCCCGATGAGAGCTGATGCTGAAAATCAGGCTTGCAGTGGAAGTGTGTTCTCTGGAAGCTCATGGGCAGGAAGGGGAGGCAGTACGATGGACTTACAGGAGGTCGGGAGCAATGAGGTTATGTTGTTGTATAGCAATCCACAGGGTAGGTAGTAGGAAAGGCCATGGGATGTTGTCTGTAGAATTGCATGTACAGTGAAATCTTGTCCCCCTCTTTATGCTTCACAGACAAATAACACAATGGGGGTAGGTGGAATATACAATTTGAATCAGTTTTCAGTCCTTTCACATGTAAAACAGCTCCTATATATTGTCTAATCATGTTTTAAACTGTTACTTTTTAAATGTTATTTGTTTTTAATACCAGGTACTTCTTTCCCCTAATTTAAAATCAAAATCCCAATGTTATTTTAGCATTGAATAAATTGTTGAAAGGATAGAACCTCTAAAGTTTTTAAGGCTGGATGTGAATTAAGCCAGCCATAGATGGTTCGAGTCTCAGCTGTTCAGGGAGAACCGAACGAGATTCAAACCATATATGGGCAGACTGAATGTACTCAAGTTGATTGATCAACCAACTTGGGTACAACCAGCCTGCTGGATTTTACATGCAATTTTTGCTACCGGCTGTTATAACGCCGGAAGAAACACAATGGCTTAGTGGGAGGGATCCCACTGTCAACACTGTCCATCCATAGTTGCAGGAAAGAAAATCGCCCAGTCTATGGCCAGCTTTAAAGCCACTTTATTAAACACGGATAGGGTAATCAAGTGACTTTCTCCCATTCAGCCTGCTGAAAATCTAAATGTGGATGGCTAGCCTTTTTTTGCAGGCTGGAGAGCTTGGCTCAGTTCCAGGTACCTGCCCAGGGTTGTGACTTTCCTCTTGGGGTTGACAGCCAGACTCTACCCAGGAGCCGCTGTCATTCTTTCTGCAGTGCTTGGGCGGTGGAGGCAGGTCACAGGCTGACAATGGAGCTACAGGCATGCCATGCATCAGCGCGTTGTTCTGCAGATCCCTAAGCAAAGAAAAGATTATGTAAACTGGCTATGCTACCATGGATATGCATTAGGGGTTAGCATGGTCAGTAAAGAACAGGACACCCTGCAACATAAAGGGGACAGACAGCATCACCACACAAAGGGGGCTGACAGGTTCATTATATGAAGAAGCTGGCTGGATCACTACATGAAAAAGTATTAGTAGGACCACCACTTGAAGGGGTCTGTTAGGATCACCCCATGAAGGACAGCTAGCAGGATCAACACATGAAGAGGACTAGCAGGATAACCACGTGAAGTGGGCTGGCAGGATCACTACACGAAGGGGACTGGGCAGGATCACTACATTAACTACAACAACTAGGATCACTACATGAAGGGAACTGGCAGGATCATCACATGGAGAAGAACTAACAGGATCACCACAAGAAGGAGAACTAGCACGATCACCACTTGAAGGGGTCTGGTAGGATCACCCCATAAAGGAGAACTAGTAGGATCACCACATGAGGGGGGGCAAGCAGGATCAGCACATAGAGGAGAACCAGCAGTATCAACACATGAAAAGGACTGGCAGGATCACCACATGAAGGGGACTAGTAGGATCACCACATGAAGGAGAACAGTCAGGATCACCACATGAAGGAGAACAGTCAGGATCACCACATGAAGGGGACTAGGCAGGATCACCACATTAACTACAACTAGTAGAATCACCACATGAAGGGGGCTGGCAGGATCATCACATGGAGAAGAACTAGCAGGATCACCACATGAAGAGGACAGTTATCATCACCACATGGAGGAGAACTAGCAGGATCACCACATGAAGAGGACAGTTAGGATCACCACATGGAGGAGAACTAGCAGGATCACCACATGAAGAGGACAGTTAGGATCACTACATGGATAAGAACTAGCAGGATCACCACATGAAGAGCACAGTTAGGATCACTACATGGAGGAGAACTAGCAGGATCACCACATGAAGAGCACAGTTAGGATCACTACATGGAGTAGAACTAGCAGGATCACCACATGAAGAGGACAGTTAGGATCACCACATGGAGGAGAACTAGCAGGATCACCACATGAAGAGCACAGGTAGGATCACTACATGGAGGAGAACTAGCAGGATCACCACATGAAGAGGACAGTTAGGATCACCACATGGATAAGAACTAGCAGGATCACCACATGAAGAGGACGGTTAGGATCACCACATGGATAAGAACTAGCAGGATCACCACATGAAGAGGACAGTTAGGATCACCACATGGATAAGAACTAGCAGGGTCACCACATGAAGAGGACTGGCAGGATCACCACATAAAGAGGACTGGCAGGATCACCACATAAAGAGGACTGGCAGGATCACCACTTAAAAGGGGACTGGCAGGATTACTTGATGTCCGGAGCTTTGATTTAATATGTCAGTAAATATTACATTCGGCCATAATTTAAAAGGATTCTTCTTATTAGTGATATAAGTCAGCAACCCTGGTGACAGAGAGAGTTTGCCTGCAGCTCAAGGGAAGTAAAAGCCATTGAAATCCTTCTTGTGAACTTATGACCTGATCTGCAAAGGTCTTGTGGCACTGAGGGTGTGAATTTAAGCCACTTTCTATTGTTACTTGAAAACAGCTTTTTTCCCCTAAGCCACAATTACCAATTTGATGTCTTTGTAGAAGTGAAAAAGCACTAAACAGAGCTTGCTGTAGTGAGAGGCAAAAGGCCAGTAAAGTGCGGTGATAAAATAAGGCGGCCCAGAACACAAGGAATAATTGCCACTTACAGCCAGCCATGGTTATCTGAAGGCAATAAAAGAAGTTGTGAATCTTTGTTTGATTTTGCACTTCTTGAACAGATATAACAAAACACTTTCAATGGTATATTAAACAGACCAAAAGGGATAATATAAGTGTATTGTTGGGGTTTACATACACTTTAGCCTGTCTTTACACTTGTAGATGGGCTGCAGCGCCACTTGGAAAAAGAAAAAATAGGAGCAAGTCTTCATTTTTTTCACAGCGCATGGAAATACACAGGACACAGGGGCGGACTGACCATATGGAAACTCGGGCACTGCCCGAGGGCCCGGGGTCAGTAGGGGGCCCCATGAGATGCCCCTGGTACCTTTTTCATAGGCTTTTTTGAGTTAGGGCAAGGACACAGGGGCCCCATGATCCCCTATTGCCCGGGGGCCCCATGAGTTGTCAGTCCGCCCCTTACAGGACACCATGCAGCATGCTGCACTATGTTGTATTGCAGTGTACATGCACTTTCAAGGTGCGTTGGTGAATGGCACTGCAGCGCACCAGTGCATGTAATTTGTATTACTGCAGCACAATTGGTGTGTGAATATTGTCACCCAAGGACAGGAAATGTGTTAAAGGCAGGATCACCAGGTAAAATAACAGAAAAAAAAATATCTAATGCAGCCAATTATAGCTAAGAACCATTAAGCTGTAATATATATTTTTGTTCTTTGGCATATTTATTTTAAAGTTGAACTTTGTGATAAGTAAATATTGTTTAAATACAAGAGTCCTGCATTCTTCCTTGACTCTTGGTGTACTTTCTGTATTTCTTCCAGATATGTGCAGTAATCCAGTGTGAGGAGCTTCCTGCAATAAAGACCAGTCACTGCTGCTTTCTCTCCTTGTGCAGGAGGACTGGTCTTGTCTCCGCCCCCTACTGTAGTTTTTTTTTTAGGCAGCTTGTAGTGGGTGGAACCTGATGGCCTTTTCCACAGCTCTGCTCCTTGCCCAGGCTATGTACAGCGCAGTGATGCTGTCACAAGGTATTACTAGGGTTTGCAAAGACATTTTGTGTGTGCAAAGTGTATTTACATCCTTTGTGGCTATTAGGCAGTAGATGTAAATGGGTTTTTGTGGCTGGAATTCAGCGCTATATAAATCCTGCATTATAATAATAATAATAATAGATGAGATTGCTTGTAAGCTGACACAGCAATAAAAATGTGATAGAGGTGCTAACCCTTTCCCAGTGTAACCAAAATAAAGAAAAGTCTGGGCTGGAGTTCTACTTTAACTGCTGAGAGATTGAATAATGAGCAGAACAAATCTGTGGGTGAAGTAGAAGCAACCCTTTAAAGAAAACAAAAAAAAAACTTTTAGCATTAATACCTTCTAATTGGCAGTCATTAGAGATTCTGTTTAGCACTGCGGTTTCTCCATTGTGATACGGAATAATGCATAGGTTATAAAGCCTTTGATCATTTGTGTTATCAGGAATTAGATTTTTCCTCATTGCCCCTGGAGGGTTGTAATTATTTTTAGTGCTTGAGTTGTGAAGCATTGTGGTGGAATGCTACCCTGAGATATTCTCCAAAGTCTTCCCCATAGACTTCCTTTTCAAAGGCTTTCTACCCGTACTCTCACTTCTGCTACTTTGTTTCATTTCCCCAAAATGATACATTTTGAGGAATAAATGCTGTTTAAACATTAATTGTTATTTTTTTTTTTTTTCTTCAGTAGCTATGACAGATAGCAGCAAGCATAGCAGAATAGCAAGTCAACCTTGCTGCACTGGGGTCCTCAGTTTTAGTCTTGGCCAAGATACCATCTTCATGGAGTTTGCATGTTCTCCTTGCATGGGTTTCCTCTGAGTATTACAGTTCTCTCCCACACCCTAAATTCATTGGCTCCTATCTAAAAATTTGCACTAGTATGATATTCTACTGAGAACATCCGCGAAGGCTGGCTCACCTTCTGCCCTGTGCAAGAAATGGAAATTCAAGTGCCAATGCTGCTAAGAGGTCCAGATACAACTTTATTCCAATAAAAGTCAGAGGAACAATCCAAAGTATATACAACACAGGGGTACAAAATGCCCTGTATCAATGATTGCTAAATTAATTGCTGACAAGGCCTATGCTTATTAATCACACTGGAAGAAATAACATGAAAGGCCCAGCTCACATCTAGCCCATCCACATTGGGGTTGATTTACTAAAACTGAAGAGTGCAAAATCTGGTGCAGCTGAGCATGGTAGCCAAACAGCTTCTAGCATCAGCTTGTTCAAATAAGCTTTGACAAAAAAAAAGAACCTGGAAGCTGATTGGTTTGTATGTAGAGCTGCACCGGCTTTAGTAAATCAACACCAATGTGTTCAATCAAGCCGTGATGCAGTGGGCGTTTTTGGACCCCCAAAACACATTGGATACTCTTTAGATTGGCCTTCTTTTATTGGAATACAGTTGTATCTGAACCTCCAAGCAGTAGTATGGCACTATTAGTTACATTACACTACAAGCCAAGGAGACCATGGAGATCCTCTGTGGTGTAGATGCCACCTGCCTGGGAACCAGATAATTTTCATCGGTGTCAATACTTTAAGATATCAATACCATTGAGATAAGCTTACAGGTCCAGTGCTATTTTTCCACTTTCCTAGAAGAACCACCTGTATACAACACTTTCTATACGTCTTTAGGAAGATAAGGAGGATGATAAACAATCCAGCCTTGCTGTTCATACAAACACAAAGGGGAGTGCTCTTTAAACTAAAAGATATAAAAGAACAGGAAAGAGCACACCAGCATAATGCACCAATCTTCTTTAACATATAAAACAAACACTAGTAATACACTCCAATAGTGACAAGGGTTGTGTGCTCTCCAGCGCTAGGTCTGAGGCTCCAGTGTTGATGGATACCAATGGTGGTTGCCACAAGCAGCTGTTCCGGTTATGCTATAATGCTGCCTACATGCTATATGTGCAAGGATTATACTCCATGTGTGCATGACTATTGTTTTTCATACACTAAAGAAGATGTCTGTATGCTCTTTCCTATATTTTTTAGTACAGACCTTCCCTGCTGCTAAACACCGCACTATTTATGAGGGACAATCTCTGAAGTGACCTCCACGCCACGTCTGCACTTCCACGAGTGTCAATGTAATGGGTCCCCTGAACTCTCACAGATTCCTTCTAATGACTTCCACCTTCTAGGTCCCCTTTAGCTCTTACTTATTTCTTATGCTGGCCTCTACATCACTACTGTTTCCTGTAATGGGTGGAGGTCAGTAGGAGGAACCAGTAAGAGTTCCAAGAACCCAGTAGATTGACACTTCCAGAAGTGTCAGTTTTCCAGTAGACTTCAGTGTTCATTTCTTATGAATTGATCGGCACTAGTAGCATAAAAGCAGGAAAGGTATTTATGTACACTGTTCTTTTACAGGCAAAGCTTGATTAAGTAACTTTAGAAAATTTACAGGGTCACTTTAATGCCACAACATGTGGAGAATTGCACTTTACATGAAAGCATAATTCAGTTGTATGTTTTACATTAAAACTTCACTAAGCTGTGTATCAATGTAGATTTTGCTGTTAAAATTTTTTTTTTTCCATTTTTCATTTTGTTAAGGTCTGACTTTATATTTATTAGCATAAATATATATGACACACACTACAGATCAAATGAATGTTCACACTAGGGGCGGACTGACCATTTGGAAACTCGGGCAATGCCCGAGGGCCGGGGTCAGTAGGTGGCTCCATGAGATCCCCCGGGAACCTTTTTCATAGGATTTTTTGAGTTTGGGCAAGGACACAGGGGCCCCATGATCCCCTATTGCCCGGGGGCCCCATAAGTTGTCAGTCCGCCCCTGGTTCACACTGCAGATCTGATGAGTGTTCACTCCTGAGATAGATGACATAAGAGAGGAAGGATGTTAAGTGACTACTCATTAAAAATAAAAATACCATTATCATCAGAAATATACCATTTACACTCAAAACTACAGAACCGATACCAAGGCTTCCTCTGTGGTTACATTTACTTTATGAAGGAGTCACATCTTCTAGAATCTTCTCACAAATTAGCAATTTGTAAATTGTAACCTCTAAGGAGCATGGCCCTCTGGACCATCTTGTATTGAATTCTATTGTAACTGTACTCTATCCCTTTATACTGTAAACTGCTGTGCAGACTGAGGGCATTTAAATCCTACAAAATAAAAATAATAGTATAATATTTTATAATAAAATCGAAATACTGCATTTTAATATTTGCATGTGTCTTCAATGCTCTCCCTTTGCCTCTTTGTTGTAAAAACATATTGTTAATAGAACCCAGTAGTTCAAGTTGAAATATGCACGGGTGGATGATTGATAGCATTGATCTATCTCTTACTGGAAGGTTCAGTTCTGGATTTCATGGTTTTTAGATAACCCACAATGCTTTGGGAGTCCATTGTCATGTAAAAAATACTTATTTTTAAAACAAGGATTATATATGGCTTTGTGTATAAAAACAGGTTTATTGACTTGTATTGTAACTGTACTGTCTGCCGCTTTAATGGTTAATACAGGCAGTAGAGGCACTCAGAGCTGCTTATCAAATGCATCTGAAAATTGATTCACTCCAGATCAATTTTTAGAGGGGCAGCTATGATGGCAGCATGTTACAACGGCAGCAGAGAAAAGTTTCCTGGTTTCCTGTCAAACAGGCTCTGTGTGGCAGAGCTGTTTAAATTTCAGAACTGGATGGAAAGAAATGGAAATACTTTTGTAGGTGGAACAGATTGTGTGTAGGTATTTCATCTTTGTATTTAGTTGTTTGTCTGGAGTTTAGCTTTAAAGTCTATATACAGATTATTTTACTGTTCTTTGAATAATTTTAATGAATCGTTTGCTCATTCTGCATAGTTTTGTTAAGGCTTTATCTATCAGACTGCCTTCTTGCAAAATGACTAAGCTTGCTGTCCTGAATATTTGCGTTTGCTTTGCCATCCCAGACGAGGCCCACCCTAATATATTGCACAAGCCTCCCTGACTCTTCCTCAGTGTCCCACTCGGCAGTCATGTCTCCAGTCGAGCATGTTAAAGCCTGACATCATGATCCAATCACTCTGTGCGTTTTGCAATAATGCGAATCACAGGCCTAGTGTCAGCAGGGCCGGCAGCCAGCAAGGAGTGAAAAGTGTCACGCCTTACACAGCTTACTTCATTGTTCTTGGGGGCTCTGGAGAAAAAAAACAGATATATTTCACAATAAAATCTATCTGTGAGCATTGGGCTGTCTTCAGGGTTTCCTGTGTCAGCCTTGGCTTTCTGGAAGTATCAGCAGATGGGGGAGCCTCAGTGAAATCTTCTACCTTGTAAATATTCTGTAGGAAAAAATAAATCATTTTATATAGCGTGCTCTTCCGTTCATCTGTAGAACTTACGACACTCTGTTACG